AAATGATAAGACTTTAGGGTCTTATCATTTGGTATCAGAGCCTACGATAAGACTTTAGGGTCTTATCATTTGGTATCAGAGCCTATGATAAGACTTTAGGGTCTTATCATATTGGCACAAATCCATATATGATGAATATGATGATTTATTCATAATGCCATGTGGACCCTTATACCATCTCACATAATAAAAAATATCATCGGGTATAAATTAATTTTTCAAATCAAATGAAACATAAATGAATTCATCGTTAGATACATAGTACATCTAGTGATCAAAGGATTTTACCAATGATCGGATGTTGATTTCACATAAATCTTCAGTTTAATTTTAAATCGATAATAATTCGACTCATTCTAAGTTTAGCTATTATTCAAAGTTGGCATGCATGCCAATTATATGTTAACAATATTCTTATAGAGAATGTGAAGATGTCTAATGCAATAACTCCCTAACTTTATTCACACTCAATATTCAAATTATATTTATAAATAATAATAAAAATTATTTATAGACTTCGTTAAGTATTAAGAGCCCGATATACTAAACTTAGCTTATTTTTGATCGATTTTGTCAACTCCAAATTCAACACATCATTATTCCTACAATAATAAAAGGAATGTACTATATATTTATCAGTTTAAGTGGATAATATTATCATCAAAGATAATAATTCCATGAAGATTAAGTAATTTATTAAGTAATTGGTAAATCAATTATCCATATAAAACCTAATAACCTTAAAATATTTTTAAGGAGCGGAAGCAAAGTTTATATTTCCTATACTTTTCCTATATTCGATATCAATTGTCAAGGATGAACATGAAAAAAGTTACCACCATACTCTCTTCAAATGAATCACTCAAATTATATGATGGTAGACCTGCTACAGATCTTATAAAGTATCGACAAATACTCAATACCTTATAGTATTTATCACTTATATGTTTAGACATTTTCATTTGTAGTTAATAAATTATTATAATTTATATATCAACAATTCATTACGGGTTAGCACTAAAATGGATCATATAATATTTTAAAATGACTCTAAATAATAAACTTCTTTGTAAATATTTATTACTTCATCTTTATGCTTTCGTTGATATTGATTTGATAAAGTATATTGATAATAGAATATCTATATTAATATATTATCTTGCTTACAACCAATTTAATTAGTTGAAGTTCCAATAAATAAAATAAAATTGTTAAAGTTGAAAATCAAGCCACCACCATCATATAACTCAACTAGATAATCATGACTTTCCAATCCACTCCTACGATATACTATAATAATGTGAGTGTATGCTTGTGTACCGCTCTTGTATAAAACATATTACTATCGACTATCATTATGCTAAGATTAAGTTATTAGTTATCAATTGTGTGTTTCTAATGTTTATATTTTTTTTGGCTAATAGCTGACTCCCTTGGAATGTCTCATGTCTCATTTGAATGATATTTCAATTGATCAATTCAAGATTGACATCATTGATATAAACTTAATTTTATGAGGGTATGATAGGAGATCATAATAGAAACAAATATAAAATTTTAACTATGTATTCCTTAAATACTCGAATCCTTAATAAATCTATGATTTTAGGATCAATTATCATAATATATGTGCATAATTTAAGTGCATCTTTCTTTCATATCTGTATAAATATATATTACCTCAATAAATGAAATCATCTCCTTTCATAATAATTTTTTTTATAATTAACTATTTAAAATTCACAATCCAAAAAAAGATACATGTTATAATGTTATAATGTAAGATAGATTAAGGAAAAGAAAAAAATAAACGAGCAAAACTTTGTCTCAAAGAACTTCATGATGACAATAAATTCATGACGACGATAAAAGAAGAAAACCATCTATTTATTACGTGAACTCAAGTAAAATACTTAGAATCTATTTTTTCAATCAATAAAGCAAATTATAAAAAAAAAAGCATTGCTGATACGAGATATTTATAAAATATATTACTTATAAAATATTTATAAGATACATAACATATTTATAAACTAAATGAATAATAAATTTATAAAATATTATCTTTGTATTTGAATCTACAATCACCAATGATTTGTCCCCATTAACATAAATTAAATTATCATAAATAATATATTATTTTATTTCAATTATTAACTTCCTTATTTCAATTATTATTTTGTATAGTATGGTTAAGAAAATAATTTAAATAATTTTTTAATCATGTGAACAAGTTAAAATTTTTATAAATCAATCAAATTATTAATCAATTTATTTTCTAATGAGTGGTATGATTTTTAAAAAATATTATTTTAACTTTTATTATTGTGTGAAAATCATAAAAAGGAAATATTATACTTCTATCTTTATGTGTAAAATTAAAATTAAAATAAATATTTAGGAGAGCTGTTTTTTTTTTTTGTATAAAAGGGTTTTTTTCTTATTCCTTATTGAGCTTAGTAGTAGAGGATTTAAGAGAGGATTTCCTAAGGAAAGGAAATGATCCCGAGAAGAGATCATCTATTTTTTTATTACCAATTTTTATTATATATTTTAATAATAATTTTAATTTATTTAATTATATATGTTTATATTTCAAGAAATTATGCATGAATTTTTATGATTTAATTAGTTTTAAATTTAAAATCATTAATCTAAATTAGTTAATTTATAAAAATAGAATTGATATTAATTATTATTTTATAATATTTTAAAATATAAGAAGAATTCAATTGGGGTTTCACCGGGAAGCCAAAATAAAGACAGCAGCAAAAGACAGCAAAACATAGTAGGCAACTCTTATATTTAAGGACTTACAGAACGTTCAGAAATTATGGACAATTATGTAAGAAGAGGAGCATTCTGCTATATCGAGATGAAATTGTGGGAAAACCTCTCCAATTGGGTCCTGAGCAAGCTAACGAACGAGAACCGATCCCTCTCCATCGAGTTAAACTTCTGCGGCAGCATCGCATTCTCCACTTGGATCGACAGGGGCTCCAGTTCCTTCTTCATGGACTCCACCATCCCCATATCGATCTCCTTCCCAGAAATATCCTGAATGAAGAAAACATTCTTCGTCTTCTCTCCGTGAGCTGCAATGTCTGCCTGGGCAACGGTGAGGCCGTGCTCACGGAGAGTTTGTGTGACGTAGGGAAGAACTCGTACGTTATTTTGTAAGTCCAACTCCAGCCGAATCCCCTGTAGAATAATACCGTGTTAGTTGACATGATCGATTACCTGAACTACAAGTGTTTGGATCAAGATCCAAGCACCGAAACAAGCCATACCGACAAAACAAGAAGAGATTTTTCTACAAAGGCAGGCTCACCTCACAGACTCTACGCTCGATTGCAGCCTCCAAACATTTGGAAACTCGCTGGATCTCGAGTTCGGTGTCCAATAATCTGCCATCCTTGCGCCTGATAAAATACTCCTGCGATACTCAAATTCGGTGAACAAAACATCATCTTTCTGCCTAGAAATGGTGTAAATCCGAAATGTACCATTCGACGTAGGAGTGCATAAAGAAACAACGTATCATGCAGATTTACAAACCTGATGAGCGAAAGGTCCGTGTGAAGTGATGTTGGCATGGAAAACAACATATTGCATGTCTGTTAATGTGCACACTGTGTCAAACATGAGCTTCGGTCGATCCAAGCACTCCACATTGACCACGGTGTATCCTTTCTCTTTGCATCGATCGATCGACACAACTGTTCTCCTTCCCTCTTCATAGTTGTCCACGTTCATCGTCCAAGATGACATGTTTAAGGGTCCTTGTGGACCATCAAAATCTTGGTTTGCTAACATGAGTTGGTGTAACCTGCGCTCTGCATGACTTGTCCAGTTATCACACCCAAGAAAACATGTCCTTGCACTCCTACCGCTGTCATCGCCACCGAAGGAGGGTCCCAGAATGTTGGAGAGGTGATCTTCGATAGCGGATAGCCTTTGAGGGTCATCTATGCAGGTCGAGGTGGATTCGTCCGAGATGCAAGCTATACATGCGAGAAAAGCATTATGGCTCCACGCATGAGCTTCGATAACGTTGCACCTCTGCTCTGCAAGGGCGGCGGATATCTCTGAGAACAGTCCTGGTCGGTTAACACCGATCATCTCTATGGCTGTGCGCTCGGAAGAAGATTCGATACCACTATCATCATCACTGCAGTATTCAGCTTCTTCTGAGTTTTGAAGCTCCCTCCTTTCACTGATGGCCTGTAAAACAGACGCATGATCAATTTCAGGTCATACAGCATGAGGCACAGCATTCCTATGAGAATGATGGAAGAAACTAGCACTGTCATTCATGAAGTTTGCTTTCATTACTAATCATATTGGACCACCCATTGTGTTTCTGCTGTAGCACGTTTCTGAGCTAGAATTTACATATATAACTGCTAATCAAATAAATTATGATTAAACTCTCAACTGTTGAATCTTTTAAGACCTGTAATCTGAAAAGCAATAGTAATTAGCAATGTCCTGCACCACTAAGTACTTCTCAAAACATGGTATTCAGTGGAACAATGCACTCATTTGATAGGTACTGTATTGTATCTGATTCACCCAACCAGACTACCACTACCTACCCATTTCATTCAACTAAAACATTACCTCAGAAGTCATTTGATTTCAAATTTATGGTTATTTTGAAGCTATGAAGATGATGATAAACTGTGTTGATTCTGAAACTCAAGCAGCTCATCACCTACTTTGTGTGCCAATAATCCGAACTATATATTATATATTGAGAGAGAGAGAGAGAGAGAGAGAGAGAGAACCTGTTGTACATATTTGATGACTTTCCCGTTAGTCACTTTATTTCCCAGCTTATCTTTAACATGAAACACTGCAATGCAAACAAAGAAGCATCAAGCAGGGCCCAGATACTCCACATATTATCTAAGCTCAGTTCAACAGAGTGAGTACTTATTCAGCTAGTATTGTCAAAGATAAAGAGGGACAAAAATAATGCATTTTTCCCTGAAAAATATAATCAGAAGGAAGACAGTAGTACTCATTAGATGCATCAGTTCTGCTGATTGAAAAACAATATATATTTTTCCATCGATGAGCCTCGTATCAAATATGACCTGCATATACATGTAAGGTTCTGGACAACCATGTTATATGGCTTTGAAAAACTTAAGGAGGCTTTGTGAGCATCAATGATGGTGATAAGTGTTCCATCTAAACCACTGCCAAACGATCCTGATCTAGATCCAACCCCAATGGGAGACACAAAGCTCAATCGGATGACAAAGACCTGGAAAGCAACATACCATCCATAAACCATCTTGCATCAGAAGAAATATAGCTCTTGGTGATAAACAGATCCATGTCTGTTAACACTTGCACCACTTTAAGCAATAGACCCTGTTTGTTGATACTATCAACCTGAAAAAGACCAACTTAAAACTCAATCCAATCAGCAGGAGTTTTAGTTAATAAAAAAAGGCACACGTTTCCGAGCTGCACTTACCTTAACCACAGTGCATTTTTCACAAGATTCATTGTCCACAGATACCCTGCAATGTAAGAACATCAACCATATCGACTTCCGCAAACAATCAATTTATCGAGTAACTAACCTCGGTCCAAATATCTTATCATTGAGATTCTCATATTCAGGATCAAAATAAGGAGTGCAAACTTCCATCCTGTTATCAACAGAAAAGTGTTTTTTACTTAGAAATTCCACCAAGGAAATTTAGAAAGGCCAGCTGATGAATAGCTTAATATTCGAACATCACATGGTACATCGATAGCATTGACTAAATGAGGTTCATAACATATTACTGAGCAGGTGTCTCTTGAACCGCAGGAGCTGCCAACAACTAGAAATACGCATAGTGAGAGTCCAAGAAATTAGCTTAATCAATCAACAAGGTTTGATGCAGCATGTTAACGCCGATATTAAACCAAATAAAATACGAGAAGCGAAATTGCCTTTGGTAGAGCTCAACGGTGGGAAATAACTGTGTAGTTGACCCCAAGCAGTCCGACATAATTGCTTCTCATCCTTGCCATTGTTGACAACATGATAATGACAAGACTTAAATCCGCAAAACTTTTATAGAAAACTTTAGTACTCAAGCTTGCAGAAATTGTCCAATGATTCAGGGCATCTACCATCGAGACAAAAGCTAGTCGGCAATCCATCTTTGCATAAAAGCAAGCAGTTAAAAGAAAGCCGAAAATTTTCGAAGAAAATAATAATAAGATGTTGAAATTACTATGAGGAAAGGAAGATTACCTATACATTAGCATGGCGAGCAAGTCTAAATATGAGGTGCCAACACTGAAAACTTCCACATGGAACTCGTGTTCTTCCTACTTACTGAACATTAGTACGTGAAATCGACAGCAAGGGTTAAAACAATATTATGTGAATTTTAGATTCCAGACTCCACAGTGATTAGAGTTGGCAGACCACTAAACTTGATGCACATGCAATCGATATCACGATGAGAAGAGCTCTCGCATCCTAAGGTCGCCAGGACAAGAACTATCTCTTTGGTAGAAGCATAATAGGAAAAAAATATGGTCAAATTTCTTCCAAAGATGGCAAATCGACAGCAGAAAACAAGAGAAAACGGAGAAATTTAGAGGGTCTCTCTCTACCTTGCTTCCGAAGCAGCGTGGAGGAGGATAATATGATCCGATACGGTGGGAGGAGGCGATCTCCTCTTCGGTCGTTTCGGTTTGGGAGTTGGAAAGGGAAACAGAAGATCTTAAAAATGGCATGCGGCGACGGACGAATCGACGGCTGCCGAGTGACTCAAGATGATGTTGGGTTGACTGGTGGAGGAGGCCGCGTCCCCGCCCGCACACGTGTGCGGACGGCGGTGCCTCCCACTTCTTTCTCCACGTTAACCCGTTTCGTTCGGCTCGGGAGGCAACAATGGGCTCCGCGGAGGGGCCCATATCATTTCTCCTACTAGGACACGGGTCTCCCAAACTTTTCTTTCTGGGCTTATCGTGGTCCTAAACCGGACTTTGCTGTACATTTGGGCTAAATCTCGACCTAATTTTCTTACAATGTGCCCCAAATTACGGCCTTAATTGGGTGAGAATCGGCCCATGAGATATTTATTTATTTATTTTTCCTTTTTTTTTTTGCTTTATTGATTCTAATTTTAGCTGTCCCATTCTCTCTCTCCTCGCCTTTCTTTGTATTCGATCGGCATCTTGTCGTCGCCGGAACCCTAACCCTGATCTTATTCCGCGGCGGCCTACGCCATGGGGAGTACAGGAAAGCTTATGAACCAGATCATGGAGCTCAAGTTCACGGCGAAGAGCCTGCAGCGGCAGGCGCGCAAGTGCGAGAAGGAGGAGAAGTCGGAGAAGCTCAAGGTGAAGAAGGCGATCGAGAAGGGAAACATGGACGGCGCTCGGATCTACGCCCAGAACGCGATCCGGAAGCGCACCGAGCATATGAACTACCTCCGCCTTGCCTCCCGCCTCGACGCCGTCGTTGCCCGCCTCGATACCCAGGCCAAGATGCAAGTCATCGGTAAGTCCATGGGATCCATCGTCAAGTCCCTTGACGCCGCCCTCGGCACCGGCAACCTCCAGAAGATGTCCGAGACTATGGATCAGTTCGAGCGCCAGTTCGTCAACATGGAGGTTCAGGCCGAGTTCATGGAGGGCGCCATGGCCGGATCCACCAGCCTTTCCACCCCGGAGACTGAGGTCAACAGCCTCATGCAGCAGGTCGCCGACGACTACGGCCTCGAGGTCTCCGTCGGCCTGCCGCAGCCGGCCGCACATGTCATCTCGGCAAAGGACAACGAGAAGGTGGACGAGGCCGATCTCTCCAGACGCCTTGCGGAGCTCAAGGCCAGGGGCTAAAGGTAGAATCTCTGATCCTTCCCTTCTATAATTCTTGTTGCTCAGTCTTTTATCCTTCATTGCGGCTTGCCTGAGGTGAAATATCGGCAACTATAAAGCAGATAGATCGTCAAATTTTGTAAATGTTATGCTCCATATCTTGGTGAATGCGTTTCTGTCCCTTTTTTTCTCTTCCGCTACTGCTTGTCTGAACAAGGGATCTTGTGAAGGGTGCTCGTCTGACGCCCGTGCTGTTTGAAGTTTTGTGTGTTCCATATCTTGGTGGTTTTGTTCCTCCATCTGGTTTTGTATTGAACTAATCAGATGCTTTTATTTCTTTAATTGACAAGTATTCCTTAACTCGGACTTGGCAAAAGAGCTTTACAACAAATCTTCAGGTTGACAGCCAAAAATAGGCCGAGAGATATTTGGATTGTCATTCTAAGGAGATATACGAGATTTGGAGATTGGTTTCCATGATGCTGTTCAAGTTGATCGATAGACCTTTTGTTTTCATCTGAATTACGTATTTAAGTAGATGCTATGACTTTATTTACTCATTCACCAGTCTCAAGAACTGTCGCCTCAGGTAGTGTAACGAAAAATTAATGACACATATCACTTAGTTATTTGCATCTATTCCCAATTTTGCATCCTTTTCTTTCTGTGCACTGTGAAGATTCAATGTGTTTAAGCATTGACGTAAAACTTACATATGTCTGCCCTTTTAACATATTTATGCTATTTGAATTTTTCATACTCTTTTAAGTAATCTAACTACTGATAATGTGATATCTTTTGTTTTGAGATTGAATATACTCTAATTGATCACGAGTTATCTATCATCAAAGTGGCAAATCTTTCACACAATATTATAGAGTTGTGCACAAAGTTAATTGGAGAGAAATTAATACAAACAGTTTATTTAAGTCAGATTGCAGAATGATTAATGGATATAGGCTTGAATTGCATGGATCAACATTTGGAATACCCCAATTAGTCCAACATTGGAAGTGGTTTAAGAATTGAATGAATTTACAAGGGTTAGATGAATCTACCATAACTAACTTGCAAGCATTTTGGATAATTGGTCCAAACTCAGTAAGTAAATGGGTCAGTCATCTCATCAAGCCCAATTGTGACAAATGGTATTCAAGCCGATATGGTATTAGGCATGATAAGGGCTGAGTAGGAAAGACAGACTTATGGATAGGGATAGAGGACATATCACAGCGAGGAGTCATCGTTGGGCCAAGTGAGTTTCAGATATATCATGCTAAGGGTTGATTCTTGGCTTTGTGTTGGTCCTTAACGAAGACATCAAGCCCTTTAATTGGGGAGATCCCGATTTATCCTAGATCAAAAGTTGGTTAAGAATAACATGAACATTTTAGATGGATCTATTGCCATAACCTTAGGCCTAAGCATTTCGGACCAGTGGTCAGGCTCAACCAGTCAATGAGTCAGTTATCCTGGTGATGTCAGCATACAAGGTAGTTTGTGAATTGGGCTTGATAATATTTGAGATTTAAGTACATATGAAGTACTCAAAAGTGTGTGTATATATGTACAGAGTAAAATAAGACAAATCACAAGTAAAGAAGAGTGCTTCTGAATTAAAATTTTATTTTGTACAAATAATATAAGCCAAATTGCAATTTGCTTTTTAGCTAGTGTTTTCTGCTCAAGAAGAATAATGTAAGTTACTCGCATGCAACCAGAAATTTATGGTGATGGAGTTTTTATTGGACTCCATTGTGTCATCGGTGGAAGATTCTCAATATTTATTTGGAGTTTAGGGGAAGATATACGAAATTACAAAATGCCCCTAGAGGCAACACTTAAAAGTTTATGCATTTGTAAGTGACATTAATATGTTTTTTCTGTTATTTGAGTCATAAGATTCATGTTTGATATTGAACTTTCAGATGAAAGTACTAATTAGGTTATTATCTTTTGCTAAGATGACCATAAGATAATTAGGTTATTATCTTTCAGATGAAAGTCATAAGAGTCATGGGCATGCTACCCTACAGTGTTTGTGTAAATAATCTTTGCTAAATTATGGTTCTGTAACTTGCAAATTTCTTAAGTACCTGTTTCCTAACCATCTTTATATAATTATCTTTCTTGACGTGGGTAAGACAGTTGTACAGCATTAAATGTTCTGATGCAAACTTAACCGTGTGGATGCAGTGCTACATGGTATTGCATTCCTGTAGTTTTTTTTTATAAATGTCAGTAGTGATTACATACCATGAATTGAAAAATGAGTGAAAACTAACCTCGTCAAATATTGTTGTTGCAGGCTTTGTTACCATTTGCTGAACTCTCAATAAGAACACTTTTCTATTGCATGCTGTTGAGCTGGTGATAAAGGGCATATTTGTAGATACCCTGATAAACTGGAGAACTGTGATGCTTTTGGTGATTGTAATAGCCTACATTTTTAGCAACATTATAAAGCTTAAAGGTTTCTGTGTATCTTTCTCTAAATTGACAAGGAAGCTACTTCTCCGTGAAATAATGAGTGAAAAAGTTTTCAACAATCTCATAAAGCAGGAAACTCTTTTTTTGCTGTTTGAACATCATAAAGTTTTATTTGATGTTCAAGTTTTATTTGACATCTTATATAATGATAGATAAGAATTGTCTGCTTTCGGTCAATGATTTTAGGTTAGATTGCCATGTTCGACAATTGGCATATAGGATACCTTTGCATCAAATATCAAGATGGCAAGCAGATTTCGAGGGTCAACCTTTTTTTTATGGAGGTACGGATTATATGATTGTGGGCACCAGAGAGGTGCTAATTATAGCCTGAGCGTTTGATTGGCTTGAAGTATGGGTTGTCTTATTAGTTATTGCATTCCAAAGTTGAGATTATCATTGAAAACGCTTTTGATGGCCTCACAAACTGCTTTGATGATGTTCAGGTAAAGCAATTCTTCCACTTCAAATGTCTTTTTGTGTTGTAAGCTGTTCAATTTGCAAACAGCCATCTTTGATATATGCTAAATTCTAGAATGGTGGAAGGAAGGGACTACTGTGGTGTTCTGCAGCTGCATTGTTGCTCTAAAATTGTTTCTAGTTTTTTCATCTGATGGTTTGTCTTCTTAGTCTCTTTGGCTGCATGATTTAACCTGCTGTTGAAATCGGTGGAACTAATTCCTGCTCTGATGACAACTGCAGTGGAAGAGGAAGTTTTATGATCCTTCAGATCAAATTGACCCCTGCTTGTATGACGCACCAGTCTGTGTGCGGTTTTGAGAGGAGCCACGCCACATCTTGGTTGGTTGTGACTGCTGTATGTGCATTCTTCTATGTGCTTGTAGCAGCATCTAATTTTTTTATTTTAATAGTGTGTGTATAGGGCACTCTTAGGCTATATGATGATGTACATATTTTATACTTAACTATGAAGAAAAGCATCTCTTTTTCTTTTCTAGACACATAAGAGATTCTGAAAGTATGTACTGAAAAAAAATATGAATATATCAAATTTTGTCTGTTGGAGATTTGACATGATTTCAAATCAACAGGCCTAATTCCTGGTGATGACAGCCTCAAAAAGATGGGGACAAGCATCTAATCAATCTGAGTCATATTTCCATTTTTACAGTAAGCTTTGTGCCCATGTAGGAGGGGCTCCGGCAATGTTTGTCACCTCCAGTTGTGCATCATCATCATCATCTTTTTCTAGTTTTCTGCTTGGTCCTCTTCTTTGCACATCATAAAGGGAGAGGGCATCTGCTGGGCAGAACATGCCCTCTCGATCGAATGGTCTGCCCTTAAATAATTATCTTACATGTTAGCCGGATTAGATGATGTGCCATCCATCATACTGCCAAGGGAATATTATGTCTTGTCAAATGCAATTATTTCTGTGCACTGCTTGGCTTTCCTCTTTATTTTATCCAGCTTACTGTTTTGGACACAAGTATCCTGTGACAGAATAATGACCATGAATGAATAGAATGCAACAAACACCATGTTGTTCTAGACCTGTTCATGTGCCCCCATCATGGATGGCCGACGACCTCATTCGGTCACGTAAACCTCGGGCTTGGTTAACATGTTAAACGCATCAAATCATGTTAAGTCTGCGCTGTAAGATCAGTGCTGGCTGCACAAATGCAAAACGATTAACTACGCTGACAGTGTTATACATACAATGAAATGCATAATGATTAACATTTGCTGGGCCATGCTAGTGGGACCAGGTTGTCAGCTAATCACATGCCAGGGAATCATGGGACCCATGAAGCCAAACGGCTATGTGATCGGCAGGCCTGGCATGTGAGTCGGATCGGGTAGATTTGCATCAGAGGGATCGGTGAAGTCTCTATTCTTCTTGGGATCTGCCCATCACGATTCACCCAAGTCCTTCGAGTCCTCTATAAGGATCACCTCTCTCTCTCTCTCGTATCCTCCTCCTCCTCCTCCTCATCTCAGCTCTCACTGCAGAGCCTCATTCCCCCCCCCCCCCCTCTCTCTCCCTCGCGATATGGATAGGTGGCTCTCTATGTAGTCTTCCACAGCTTTCTTGAACGGCAGTCATCTTCCCATGGTGCATGTCTCAGTTGCAGTTCAATAAAGCTGTGGGAAATTACATAGAGAGGCCAATGGATCAGCAAAGACGCGGCAACACCGATGCTCTCGTCTCTGTCTCAGGCACACCACAGGTTAGTGTTTCCGCTGCATGTAACTCGACTGCAGAAGCTACATCGCTTGGTTTCATTAAGCTCCCACAAAGACATTGCTGTGTGTGTGATAGACAGGCCGAGTCTTGTGTTGCTTGTGCTTGTTTGTTTGGTTCTGAGGGTATGCTGTTGGGCACCAGATGATGGAAGAAAGCATGGCTTCGTGACGTGATATCAAGCCAGGCTTTTTCTTCTGCCTCACCTTTCTCGTCCTTGTTCTCCATGATGATACTTTTGAAGAAACCCAACCCTATAAGAGTAAATTTAGTGTACAAGCACCATAAGAAAAACTAGCCAAATGTAGTCAGTCAGAAACAGGTGCATGCAGTGCCTGGCGCCAGCCCCTGTTCATGACAAGAAATCTCTGAAAGAGGAGCTGTGGCTAATTCAAAAAGAACTGTTAAATCAGAATCCATCAACTGCAAGTTTCATCTTCCCAGAAAATAAAATCTGTGATATCCATTCATTTTCTCTTTCCATTGTTCCAGCGAAGAGGAGCAGTTATTTTGTCCTTCTGACAAATACTATTTGTGTTATCTAAACAAGTCACCACTAGAATCGATAGATAGTACAGAGCTTACAAGATTCATAAGTATCCATCGGGCTGTAATTTAGAATCATGCATGGTGATCATTAATGGTCTCAACTCCGAAGGAACTTCAAAGCTATAAAAGCATTTGGAGCAAAGTATTCTTCTTCCACTTGACTTGTGTCAAAGTGGCAAACTGTTGATGCAAGTATAGGTGAGAATTTAAGCAATCAAACATGTTCTGTGAAGCATTTCATACGACAAAAAGAGAACTAATGGCAGTCATCAATTTCTGATCATAAATTAGGCTTCATCAACATCCCAAGTAAAAGTCTTTTATTAGGCATTTGATGATCAGAAATCACACAACATATCAGAGATCTGCCGGCTGGTACAAAGCAACTGAAAACTATCTACAAGTTTAAATCTTGACATGTTCTCTAATATCCATTTACCTCGGAGAAACGTTTTCACATCTTCAAACTGCAGAAATCTTGTTGAGTTTACGACCGCAAAGCATGAACGCCATTAAGATTTCATCTGAGTATGCGTGGAGGTTTCGAAATGACTGCACTTGGAAGATTTTGCAAGGTTTCAATCTACTTCTGTGAACTCCTTATTTCTTGCAACAATCGTAACTCTTTTTGTCATGTAGTTATAAGCAGTGGGATCATGTAATTAGCAGTAACCTTATGGCAATTGTATTATATGAAGGCCAAAGGAAGCAACATAGTTGGGCTCACAAGGATGCAACTATTCGATCCTGTTTGAATTCTACATATCATTTACAATGATTAGAAATCAGCAAACAATCATTCACAGGAGGGAGAACAGATAGCAAACTCAGCACGACATAAACTTGCATATACCGATCAGGCAATTGCTGGTTGTGGTTACAGCTTATAGAAGAGATCTGTCACAGACTCGTACGGAAGAGTTTGTCTGAAAGATGGAGGAAGAAGATTCACCAAAGGTCAAGAGAAATACAAGTCAGGGAGACGAGAAGAAACACAAATCTACAGTACTGAATCCATCACTCCGGCAGAGTGCGCAAGCTCAATAATTCTGTGGCCTCTATTACTAGCTGTTGTTCCACAGACATCGATGGCGATGGTAGGGCATGGAGATCTCTAGAAAACACAAGCGCTGACAAAGCACCTAGAGAGACATGGATTATATGATTCGAGCAGAGCAAAATGACAGAGAGAAGACAATGCAGAAACTACAGGTTAGCGTGACAGAGGTACTGCGGCAGCAGACGCAACGAGGACTGAAACGATTCCACTTGGGGATGAGAGCAAACCACGCAGCTACCTCCGTGCAAGAACAGCATAATCCTTTCTTGTTCTCATCAGTTTCATCTCGACTCTCTCTTCACCGTTTAGGTACGTGTGTGTCTGCGGCGTGCAAGCGTGCATGATCTCATCCCATTCACCGCACGCAAAAGCTTGGGAAATCTGATCCATTTCGTCAGTCTCCATCGACAGACTCGAGTATCTATCTATCTGTCTTTTATGATCCCATTCATCCTAAATTATATCGACACATATCTTAATCCGATTTAGATGGTCTTAAAAGATGGGATAAGAGTTGAAGAATGGCGTTTTGGAGTTGGATCCTCTCCAATTCCACTTCTAATATCAATCCTCCAAGCCACGCACCACAGCCGTCGACTGATGCGGAGCCTACCTAATTCGAGGCGGGCCCACCTGCCACTAGTTGGATCGAGCCCAAGCATAATGTTAAGCCCAGGCCCGACCATGGTGGAACGTTCATACAAATAGCAGCATTTGAGGGGCTTAATTGTAAGGTATGAGGGACTAATATGTAAAAAAGCACCTCTTCGATTTGTTGGGAGTTTTTGGGGATCATTATACTATAAACGTGGGTGGAAAGAAGGGGGAGAAGGAGAAGAGGGAAAGACCAGAGCGAGGACAGTTCGGTGGTGTCGCCTCGCCTCGCCTCGCCACGCCTCTTGGAGGCTGCTTCCAGCTCTTCCTTCTCGATCCGATCTCATCAGCCTCGTCTCCATCTCTACCATCGAGGCGCGATCCGCCCTTTTTCCTCCCGCAGGGCACCTCCGATTCGAGCGGCGATGGCCAAGAACAGTCCCCCGAAGCACCGCCACGATGGGACCTCCCCGCTGCCCCTCGGTATGGACTGGAGCCCTCCCCCGAAACGTTGGGTACGTGCGCCTCCTCCTCATCCTCCCTCGATCTCAGCTCCCTGTTACGTGGTAGATGCGGCCGATGATAAAATTCTGGGTTTCCCGTGTGAATCTTGTTCCCGATTGGGCGAGTTCGAGCTTTCGGTTAGGGTTTGGTGATTTGTGTTAATTTTGTTGTTGAAGATTTAGATCCTGGCGATGCTTTACTTTGAGGTAGGGTTCGAGTCAGGATCATGCATTTTACACTGAAATTTGGGGTTTTCCTACGCTGGATGAATGTTATATTAGACGATCAAAATGTGATTCCGTTCTGTTAGTTAAAACTTCATTCAAAGTTTTGTTGTTGAAGTTTGAATCTCGCCTTTGCTTGCGCGCCAGGTTAAGTGGAAGCTGATGACATATTCAGGTCATGCTTATAGGTAATTTAGTGATTCTGCTTATAAGTGATTTAGTGATTCTGGATCAAGGACCAAGGGGGCATAAATATATATTTAAACTAAGGGGGCATATATCGGTTTCTTTGTTTTGTTTTTATTTCCACGATCATCATCATTGGTCATTGTTTCAATGGTCATTCTGCTTTTTCACTAGTGTTGAGTAAACTCAGCAAAAAAAAATTTAAGTGATTTTTAATCATCTTGAATTGGAAATGTTTGTGCTGATCAGCTAATATGGTGGTCCACTTGTTGCAGGCGGTAAAAGTATCAATTTATCTAAAACTGTATATGTGTTAGTCTTTAGGAAAGATTTGGATTGCAACTTCTAACAAGTAGCATCAAGATTATAAATTAAAGAAAAGGAGAAAGCACACTCAAAATGAGTGGAAGCCTTCACCAATATAATGAACACAAGGTTCTTGGGAGTGAAAAAACCACCCCATCTGCTTCTAAGCACAGATCCTGCAACTGTTTTGAGTCCTACTACATTTAACCCTTTTTAATTTTCTTAAATTGCATAGGAAAATGCTCCAACCAGTTCAGCCTCACATTAACTTTTGTTTTGTTCTGGCTCTTATGGTTGAAACATCCAAAGTATACCTCAACTTTACGTTAAAATATCTTTAGGAATGTTCAAATCGAATCGAAAAATCGAGCCAAAACGAAACCGAACGAGTCCAAAACTGGTTCGGTCCGAACTGGTTCACTAATGGTTTGGTCTTGAAGGTTATAAACGGTTCTAGTTTGGGCATACCCTTTTTTGGTTTGATTAACCGGTTCGAACCGAACTGAACCTACATTAATTTAAAAGATATCAATCCGGTTGAGTTTATTATCCTAAGCCCTTAATTGGTTCAAACTAATTAATCAAACCAGTCCAAAGGTTCAATTTTACAAATGACGTAGGCTCAATTTCACAAATCTTATCATGTCACTTGAATTAGATCAAGATTTTGGTTCGATTCAATCGAATTGAATTGGTTCATTTGAAAAATATATATTTTAAATTACTTGAAATTACAAACTGGTTGATCGAACTAGATTAACCGATTTTGAGTCAGTTCGATTAGATAGGTCCGAATTGGTTTGGGTTCCGACTTCGAACTACCTTACTTTAACCGAACCAAACTGAAAAAATAGTTCGGTTCGAACTGGTTTGAACACCCCTGAGTATCTTTATTCTTCTCCTATAGCATTTTATACATCACTTCATAAATATCTCAAATTTCAAGTGTTGAACCTTATCTAAATAGTAGGTCATATTGAATATACCACCGAGAAAAATCTTAATCTCCATTCTAGCTGAAACTGGCTTGAATTTCTTTTGGAAAACATGCAAGATAGTTTCTCCACATGTAAGATTTGCATTTCATATTGATATTCTTCTACTTAAAAATGCCTAATCATCATTTAGTTCCTTTGCGTATTGCAGGATGGAAGAAATACTATCTGGCCACATGACCCTCAAACTGGTTGGAGTTACTGTGTTATGATTCCTTCTTGGATCGTTCAGACAGAACCTGGAGGAACCCATGAAAGCTTCTTGAATCCTATTGTTGTAATAATCTTCCTTTGCCTTATCAATTTTCCTACACCTCTTAAACATGTATAATTTACTCTTAGGTGTCAAATAGATGTAATTGCTAGGTACATGACTTTCTAAAAAAATGTATTGTCGTGAAAACAAATGGAATGATGATTGATTTAACATCTAAGAATGGAACTTCTATCTTTGTATCATGCCGTGCAACTCTTCATTTTATCATATTTCTAGTAGTGAAGTGTTATCTTTTATAAAAGATGTAGTGATGCATGCCTTTTTGGTGATAATGACTTGTAAACATGATTATTGTATTTGTTACCTCCTGTACATAAACTGCAGGAAATTATGGTTACTAAAATGACATTTAGGACTGATTAGTGTGTTCTAGCTCGATAAATTGCATTTTTCGTGCTTTAAATTTTGCAGTTCTACATTTATACCCAACTTTGATTGACAACTATTCTGAATTAGCACTGAATGCAAGAGTAAGCTGTGTTGAGTGGAGTGGAGGTGTGATTTTGAAGTGTTTCATTGAATTATTACTTTTATATGGATATGATGCACATGCATTTTTGCAAGTATTTCTGACAGACTGCTGATACTGAAAATTGCAATTTGATTCTTGGCACAGGATATGATGAAATTAATTAAATTTGAACTAAATGAAACTAGGTTTCAGCATATCTGTAATTGGAGAAAAGGAATCAATCTAGAAAATCTTCTAGCAGACAATTTTGATGGATGTTTGACTATTGTTCCATATCTATGTAGCTTGGGGTGTCCTATAGCTGTGGCCAGTCTTTTTTATTTTTTGTACCTCCAACAGAAGTTGCATTTATTTGTTGCCGCTTCCTGTACACAAATTGAGCAGTTGTCAGCACTACTACTCTATGAATTCTGTGGTTATGATCCAATTCTCTGTCAACATATGGCAGTTCAGGGATAAAAAACTTGAAACACTGGTGATATATTTAATGCCTAAACTTGTAGGACTTCAAGTTAGGCTTGAGACGTATAGGGTCCTAAGACATGAGGAGTCTATTAATTCAAATGCCATTTATCACTAATTTCTGTTGACATTTTTCGGAGATATTGAAGAACATTATCCAATATGTTCAACGTGCCCTGATTTATCTATGAAGATCTAGGACCAAGAATGTTCTTGGCACCTTTCTGGCACTTCCAGAGAGATGGTAGAGCAATAACCTTTCTTAAATTTTTTTTAGGTTGGTCTAACATAAATATAGGCATTGCAATGTCAAGAGATGACTTTTGGTCATCCTGTTCGCCTTGAACTTGGATCTTCTTTGCCTTGTGGAAATGTTGAGAGAACTGTTACTTATGGCCCCTCCCTTTTTATCTCAATTGCTAAATTCCTTTGTGTGTCTGGGAGATACGAATAGCTTTTTTATGCCCACGGGAGACAGAAATAACACACAGAGTCATCATATTATTTCTTGGTTATATCACACAATGTAACATCTGATACTTTTATCATATTTGCTTAACAAAAAGCAAATGAGAACTAGCATCGGAAGATAGGCTGTAAACATTTTGTTATTTGTTATGCTTGTAACTCACCTACCTGGAGAGAGTTGGTAGATTTTGCAGAATATATACTGGTTTGGGGTGAAGTCTTAAGTGTCTGTTGAATCTCCACAGTTACTCTGTCTTCATTCCAGATTTACTTTGCTAATCCAAATGCCTTTAGGAAGTGGCCATTAATTACCGCAACTTCAATGAAGTATAGGAGAGGCTTTATGCAAAGTAGTGGATGAGAGATCATTACCACTCATAAATTGTTGCTTACGATGATGTAGTGTCAAATTCTGTGGTTGAGGACATTATGACTCGGCATGCAGTGTTAGTCATCCTACATACAAAGACTAGATTTGCTTTTTCCGGTCTTGCTTGGGCTGCCTGCAAATGTTGGTCTTCCCACAGAACTGTAAGCTTCATGTGAGAATTTTTGGTATCCTTTGTTACTTCTGCTTATCTTCTCGTTTCCTCATTGTAATATACTAGTCATACTGTCTTTAATTAAGTGCATCATTGAATATGCTAATTTGTAGTACCCTACAAGAATTTGCTGTAGGGTTTGAATGTGAAAGATAGAGTGATCTATCTTGTGCATTTCTAATGTGCTGTGATAAGTTTTGTTGTCTCTTCTCAGTGGAAGGCTTGTGCTATATTATCTGATAATATTTTAAACTTTTTTTGAGGATAAGTCCTCTTTGTTTGCTATTTGATGTGTTAAATTTAGCAGACCTTTTTTATGTTTTAATTCTTGGATTTGCTTTTAACATTATTAAAGGACAGTTTTACAGGATTCATGTGGGTATACAATCTCCAGAAGGCATCAGCACCAGCCATGGACTACTACGAAGATTCAGTGACTTCTTGAAGTTATATTCTGCTGTATGATAAATTTTATTTTCACCATCTGATGGCAATGATTACTGTGCTTTCTTATTTGGTTCTTCATTTTTTGTCCAAACATGTAGTTTCTTTTATGAACTATGGCGATTGCACCAACAGTAAGTTACGTATATTAATTAAGGAACACACTTGAGGGTTGTTAACAATATGCAAGATTTTGTAAGAAAATACATGGGAGCACTCGACTATTAAATCAATCATATACCAAACATACTGTAGGTGCAATGGTAGAAGGCAATTCATAAGGTGGCATCATAACTGAAGGATAAAGTTTGCAAAATACTTCCTAATTCTAGACATCTGAGGAGCGGGTGTAACATCAATGATGCTGTTTATAATGAAAAGTTCCAGGTTTTTTTCATTTTACTGCCATTTTTTTTCTGGAAAGTTTGCTGGAGAACAGACATTGGATCCAATTTTTCAAATAATGGAAGGCAATTCATAAGCTGGCATTGTCATTGAAGGCATTAACATCTGCAAGACGTTTTCCATGGCAGGAAATCTAAGGAGTAAGGAGCGTGACTGTCGTGCCAATGCTGCTGTTTATTATGAGAAAATGCATGTAATTTTATCTTACAGTTATGTTGCTTGTGAAAAATTTGCTGGAACTATTCAATAACACAAGACATGTACCACCTACATAGTTTGCATTTAAGCCGTGCAAGATAATTACCATGTTTACAGCTGCCTGCTGATTTCTCTTGCTTTAATAAATTCTCTGATATTGATAATCATTGTTATGTTTGTGAGAGAAACTTCTTCATATGCTATTTTCACGGGCAGATTTAGTATGGATTTCATGTTGCTTTTATATTAGGGTTTATTTATTTATGTTGTCATTTATGCAGCTTAAGAAGACATTTCCTAGAAGAGATATTCCTGCAGCCCCACCAAAGCATGCATTTTTGAGAATAAATGCCAGCCGGATGCTTCTAGAAGAGGTATAATATTATTTCGAAGTGATGCTTTTTTTGTTATGTTGAATTCTGTTAGTTTTGTTAAAACTGACAGTTCATAAACTACAATTTCATCCATATTTGTCTCTGTTAGTGGTGTCATTATTTGTGTCTTACTTCAAGTCTAGAACTATAATCATTCGTCTCTCGTTCTATTTCCTCTACTTTGATACATAAAAGAGTGTTTTTGTTCCTGTTGCATCTCTTTCTTAGTTATGCATAGACTGGCAGAACAGAGGTAACCTTTTGAAGTACGAGGCTAAGCAATATTTGTGTTAGTTGAAATTTTTTATAGGCACAGTACAAGCAACAAAATGAAGTCTGCACTCTGAATTAGAATTGTCCACTCTACTAGTTTTAACATAGAAGAATATTCTGTGCTGACACATGGGCTGACTTTGGCAGTGACCAGAAAACCAAAAAAAGAAAAGAAATAAAAAAACCCTTTTTCAGCGTGCTTCTCTACAACAGAGAAGGAGAAGTGAGAGGAGGGAACAGACTAAGAATAGAGGTAGAGATAAAAAATCATGGGCATATCCGTGGCATGTGAGCATCCTCCTCAACCTGTCTTTACCTTGGTGTGCCTTCGTCCGGTGTTCCCTTTCTTTTGTAGAAAGTCCTTAGTTGTGGTTAGGAGGTCCGAGGATGAACCTTCCTTAATCCAGACCTATGGGTGCTCTAATTCCTTGTGAAGTGGCTTCATCTTGTCGTTAGGGAGATTAAGTCATCCAATGGCTATAAAGATACTCCATTAAGCACATTTTTTTCTATTCAGTTGTCCATTAAAAATCATTCGGCTTTAAAAACTTTTTTTAACCTTTTGACCTATATTGATATCCTCCACCTTCTGTGAGGATAATCATCCTTGGGAGTTCCATTATCTGGTAATAATGAAGAAAATTATGACATAAAAAGGAAGATCTTCAGCTGGTCAAAGAGGCCTCCCTTGTGGAGTAGATGATGATGAGATTCAGATGTATTATTATTAGTCCTCTTACTTCTAGAAGAAAAACTGGACCTTTTGTTTTGGCCCCAAATGCCTCTGGCGGCCAACTTGGTAGATTAAAAAAGAGGCAATTCTATATGTTTTTGGTAGAACTGAGAAGCGCATGTGGCTCTTTTGTATCTCTTTTGTTTATGTTTCTGGTCCAATGACTATAGATATGTCTTGTACTTTCTCTCCTTTGGTCTGTTATGTCCTTCTGGAGCTTTTGTTTGTCAGCTTCAATTTATCTTGCTGCACTGGAAATGGACTTATTGAGATCAGTGTTGTTAATGAGATCTAGGTGTTTCAGGCGCATTGAGTCCAGTCCCGAACCAAATCTAGTTTGATTTGAACCTAATCGAACCAATTGGTTTGGCTTAATCAACTAAGAGGCTCAAAACCTTGTTAGTGATAATTAATTCTTGTTAGTTAACTTTTGTTAACAATTGTTAATAATTGAGTTATTTAATGCTTTATAGATGGTTAAACTTATGTAATTCAATGTTTTAGTGGTATTCTTTTGAACATAAAATGATATGAAAGCCACGTATTGTTGGATTTTTTATTTAATGGTTGACTTTATCCTTAATTGTATTTTTTATAATTTTTATATTCGTGAACATCTGGCTTCGCTTGGGTGAGCACCTAGGTGCTCACTAATACTGCAGTTACAATTTGTTGTTGTTTTAAAAATTGAATAGTAGTTTTTCTTCGGGATAATCATAATCAGAAAGGGTTTAGTTTGGGCCTGAAGTAAAATGCTAGGTTTCCTCCTTTGCTTCAGTTTTTCTTTTGGAGTTCATTTTCCTACTAGGTTATCTTAAATCAGGTACCTTTCTTGCAGAGAAGGCGTGCTCTGGAAGAATGGATGGGAAAGTTACTCTCTGACATAGAGTTCTCTAGAAGTGCACTAGTGGCAGGTTTTCTTGAGCTAGAAGTTGCTGCAAGATCAGGTATGTCTTTCCACCTCTATGTTTCCTGGTGTCTATTTAACATGCATGCTTTTATAATCTGTTTGTTGTTGTGTTTGATTCAAGATGAAATATTCTTTGTTTTTGGTGCACTTTTATAAGTGAGCTAATTTGTCACCTTGATTTACACTTACGTTCTGCTCACTCGTTTTCATCTTCAGCATTTCAGTATGTGAATAATCATCCTACAGAACCAAGTTCAACAGATTCTACTGCTGCGCCCTCTTTAATTCCTGCTAGACCTAGTTCAAGTGCTTCTGTTGCTGATTGTTCAAAAATTCCATCGAAGTCTCATACAGTTGCGGCAAAGTCTCCCTCCATGCCATCAGATATCTGTAGTGACAATGCAGATGAAACATCAGACCTTGAAACTCCAAGAAAAGGAAAGATTCGAGAATTTAATACTAGCACTGAAGATCTGACATTTCATGATGTTAATAATGGCATTTTAGGTGAATCATTTCTGGATCAACCCGAAGATTTCATTAAAACTAAGTTAAACCAAAGAAGGGGGTACCTTGTTTCCGAGAGAGATATGACTGGTGGAAGCACTTTCAGAGACAGAGTAGAGTCCATATCATCAGATCATGACCATGATAAACTCTATGGTCATGCTCGAAGGCTCTCTTCTGAAAGCATTGGGAGTGATATAAGTTCTATAAGAGGCAGTGAATTATCATTCACTGGTGCCACCAATTCACTTTGGGACGGTTCCCTCGATGTACCTGTTGGTGCTGAAATTTCAAATGCCATGGATGCTTTTGCTGGCTTGGGGACACAATCTCTTGATAATGCACAAATTGTCCTTCCAATTGATCAAAGGCATAAATTGAATAGAGTTCTCCTCACTATGCAACGAAGGTTAGGAACAGCAAAAACTGATATGGAGGATCTTATAGCACGATTGAATCAAGAAATGGCTGTGAAAGAATATCTGACGACAAAGGTGCATCTCTGGCCATTACTTTAGTCTATCTTCCTTTTATATTTGGGTGATGAGGTTTAATTTTGACTGACATTTTGCAATAAGTATGATAAATTAGTTGTCAGTGCATTTCTGTGGAACCAAATACAACTCTTGAATTAACACCAAGTCACTTTTTCATTATCTTTGTTAGATGTCATTTCATCATCATTATCTGTATCTTTGGTTGCAGGTCAAGGATTTAGAGGTTGAACTGGAAGCCACTGAACAGAAAGGTAAAGAAAATTTGCAACAAGCTGTCTTTATTGAAAGAGAAAGAGTGACCCAAATGCAATGGGATATGGATGAACTACGTAGGAAGTGTTCAGAGATGGAATCAAAACTCAAGCTTGAACAAGTGTGGTTTTCTCTGAAGTTTGTTAATGTTGCATGGTGCTATTCATTTGAATTTAATCCCTCTATTTTGGTTTCACTTCTTGCAGAATGAAAAAAGTCGTGCAGAATTGGAGAAGATGACTGCTAGTGATGAAAAAAAATTGTTGCTGCAGGAGCTAGGTAGTAAACAGGAAGAATTACTGAACATGCGAAAGCACCTAGAAGAACAAGAATCGAAATCAAAAGCTGATATCAAAGTCCTCGTCAAGGAAGTGAAGTTCCTTAGGAAATCTCAAGCAGAGCTCAAGGAATTGATGAATCAAACTTTAAAAGAGAAGTCAGAGTTAGAGGTAGTGTGCTTGAAATTCCCTTTACAACTGACAGGCTAGAAGTCAATTTTCATTCATTAAGAATAGTGTTTGACGTGCATAACGCATGCACCGGTAGATGGCACTTCATACTTGCCTGTCAGTTTAACATTGATGTCTTGACTTCCTCAATCTCCAAAGAAGATAGTTGACACTAAGAGAGAACCTAATGTTTAAATTTCTAATAGAACAGCAGTTGTTGTAGAGAAAATTCGAAAGAAAATGTATAAGGTCACAACCAATGTTGGCACTTGGCATTTCTACACGGTTTTGTTGTACTACATCATGGAATGCATTTTAGGTAGTTGTCTCTCAGATGCAAGAGTAAAAAATGTATACAATTGGTCGTTAATCTTAGCTTTTTAGGACCATTGTGAAAACATTTTCCTCCTATGTCCTTTTTTTTTCTCTAAGCCACCTGATGGTACTTCATTGCTCTGGTGAGTGATATATATACAAGTCCTTTAACAATTGTGTTACTATAAGTACCTTTTTCCATGCAAGCTGATAAATGACAATTTTCGGTTGATTACGGTTTTCTGGGGTACATGAGTGTTGGGGTCCTTTTCAAGTTAAATATGCTTGTTAGCTGTGAGTTAGTGTTCTTTTTGAGTTAAATATGCTTATTGTTACTTGTAAATTGGATCCGATGACTTGTTGCTCTTAGTCCCTTTGTCTCCAATTAGGAAATTGGCATGATTGATTATCCATTTTTAGTCCCAGCACAGGTATTTTGTGGTTTTATGGCTGAATTATGTTGTAATAAATCTTTTGTCCGGTCAATGCATCAGATCTATCCAGTCAATGAGCAATCATTTGTGCTGTGGTGAACACCTTACAAGGGTTGCTCACAATGCATTCTTTTTCTTTTTCTCTTGTTATAATCATGGGCCAAAATGTTTCTCTTTATATCTAATTAAATGCATTACACTACTCACATCGCAAACTTGAGATGCTCTTAAGCTGGTATTACCTTTCAATTAAGGTAGAAGAATTCAGCATCCAAGGCTGATCCATTCTAGCACTCTTTTTGCTGCTCTTTGATGTCCCTATTCTGAACTTATCCTTTATAAACAGACATCTCATGTTTCTTCTCTGTTTTCTTTTTCTAGTTTGGTGTTAAAGATTTCTTGTAAATTTAACTTCCAGAATCTACTGGGTTTTGACCATCCACCTTAATCTCTTTCTGTTATCCATTTAAAACGATATCGAAAATTGTTCATTGTATTCTTTTGATTAATTTGGTCTGCAGTGTATAATTTGGCTGGTTATTTGGTTCAGGAAGCTGATCATAGAAATACACTACATCTAATTGTGGTTACTTTTATTTGGTATCAATATTACTTTAGTTCCGGTAAAGTTATTTTTACTTGGTTTTATTATTCACCTAGTCCTTTATTGTCTGCCTTACACTTTTACTTCTTGTTGAACCAGGGATTTCTTCATAAAGAAAAGCAAAAATGGTCAAATGCAAAATCAGCAAGCAAAAATCTTCTTCATGAATGCAGAGTCCTTCGTGATCGGTTGCAAGAATGCAGTGTTAATTTTCTTGCAGACGAGGAAGACAAGTTCACTATTAGCCCTTCGTCACTCTCTGATGCTTTAGATCTCCTGGCAACTTCAGATAATCGGATAGGTCTCCTCCTTGCTGAGGTATCTTTTCATTATCATATAAAATTGTCTTCTTGCTAGTTTTTGTCTGTGTGTTTTGGTTCCATTTAGTAAGAGAACCTTGTTGTGACTAGCCTAAATTTGATATCCATTGAATATGATGACATTGCTATTGCCTATGATACTTCCAGCTATGAGTTCTATAATGGTTTTCCTAAAAGAAGAATATGATATTACATGTGGATTCTGCTTTATATCTACTTATTTCTTCTTTTATTTGCTGCTCAAGCAAATGACAGAGCTGGTACCTGAGAATTTCATGTAAATTTCTGGGTTCATGATCTTTTGGCGAATACTTGTATGCATTGTTGCTACATTTTGATGTTTGCCTGATTCTTTCAGTACCCTTATCGACTTCTTGTTTCATCTGCATCTTCGGCGCTACATTCTATAATGTGATCGTTTGTATAAATATGCTTTATACAGATTTAAATGTTTTGGTGTTGATAGATAAAACTCTTTATTTGGATGATTTTTTATTTATATTTAGCAAGTGAATACTGGTAACTCATTCTTGTCCAGGCTCAACTACTTGCAAGGAACGATGAAGAGGCTTGCATTGATGATGATGATGCTCAAACTAGTGAATTTTCTGGTTCTGGGATTGCGTCAAATGGCGATAACCCAATGAGAGCAGACGACAACGACGACGAGATGAGAAATATACTTACTGATATGTTCATAGACAATGCGAGATTAAGGAAACAGGTAAATTCAGTTATTCGATGTGCCTTGAATACGGTTATAAAACCAGAGAGAGAAGAAAGCAATGAAGTTTCCTCCAGAAAGACTGTTCTCAACCGATTTTTGGAGAGATGAGTGAACATAGTGTCGATGCTCTAATTAACGCCTCATCCACGTTCGGTGCACTGTATATTTTGACCACATGATGTATTTATTTGAGGGGAAGTGTAGTTTTCTACATGGTGAAGATATGAGCTGCTTTGTATTCACGATTTCATCCATGGTATAATAAGTTGATGAGTGAAATGTGTTACGAGAGAGAGAGAGAGAGAGAGGGGGGGTACGTGTACATCGCAGAAGGCCGGTTGGACTCCTTTTATGTTCCATAAAATTTTGAATAAGGAAAATCAATGGATGCAAGTGATCTTTGAATTCCATTGCGAATGCAATGTTGTATATTTTATAAAGAATTTGAGTAATTTTTTTATTAATTTATTGAGTTACAGAGGGCATCTATGATGATTTGGTAGCAGCTGTATGATTATAGCATGGAGCAATCATTATTGTTACATCATTAAACAAAATAATAAAATATGCCCTGATTTTGAACTCTTTCAAATTGATTGCCCTATCCAAACATGGGATGACTGGTGCTTGAGTTTTGTTTTGGTTTTTAATGACGTTTTCTGGTAGTAAAAAGATGATACCATACGATTTAGCGATCGATACTGTATTTGATTTATTTTTGCTAGCATCTCTCTCTCTCTTTTGTATTCTCCTGTTTGATTTAGAAACAATAAGTTGACAGTACATGGACGAACCAAAAGGATTCTCCTGTTTGACTTAGAGACAATAAGTTGACAGTACAAGGATGAACCGAAAGGTTCTTATCATCATCTTTAATACATCAATCATGTGTACCATATCGAAGATAGCTAGTAAATGAAACTAGGAATGAGAAACTTGTAACTCGGTAGTGTTTTCCGGTAGGCACACAGTTGAGATCTCAGCATCAATATCTAACCCAGAAGAAGCAAAAACCAGGTGGAGGGAGCCACATGTTGACGTAAATTCCCCCAATTGCATGCAGAAGATGGAAGCATCGACCCAGAAAAAGAAATGCTAAAAAAAAATGTTAATCCGAATCCTATTCGTATGCCACATTCCTAATCATCCTAGTTTTATTAACCAAAAAGTAGAACAGATGTCAGCATGCTTGTCAAAGGAACGGATACGTTGTCATCTACAACATCGCTGATAGGAAGAGACTCCACCACCGTGGCTGCCAAAGATATCAATGCTACTCTTGTGATGGTCTGCTCCGGATCGAAATGCACATATCCGAAAACCGAGAAGTAGTAGAGCATCCTACAATATGAATAACATAAGGAACAATATATCAAAATTTTTAGAAGCCATATAAGCATTATGAACCTACCCGACCGAGAAGAACAAACCGAAGACAAACATGGAGATGCTCCCGACCCAACTCTTCTGTTGATTGTAGGGAAGTTTGGTCACCCCATATCTTCTACCCACGATATCGGCAAATCCTGTAGAGTGAACCGATGGCATTCAATGTAAGGTTGAAGGCCGAAGGGGACATTAACAGGGCCATGGAATTACCATCGCCACCGCTCATCATCGTCAACGACACAACTCCAACAGGAGACTCACGCCAAAAGACCAGAGTACAGAGCAACAATACGATGACATAGTACAGAGGACCTCGCAGCAATTCCCTGCGAAGAATTGGTATCCATAACAGACCATGTCGAAATTACTATTAAGAAAAGGAGCAAGATGCAATCACAGGGTATTACTCCGGTCTTCCTTCTCTTGCAACAGACTTGACTACACCTTCGTCGGTAAGAAGACGAAGGCCATAACATAAAAGCCTAATACAGTTCAAGAGAGGAACAACTGCTGCAAAATATCGTGCCACCATCGAAGAGCTGCAAATTGATTGGGTTAACACAATCACAGACCTGACATTGGACAAATGAATATGAAAACAACAACTAGTAAGAAAACATTGCAGGCAGAAAATGGAACGAGACCGGTCTCTTACCTGAAAAATGGCCAAGTGGCCATGTATAGGAGCCCAGACAGTACATGCACAGCTTTTCTGCTCAAGCTCTGCTGCAAGTTCAAGAATCAGATGCTTCACATATTAACAAGGCCTCACAACATGTTATCTAAGGTAGCAGAACCAACTGATACGCTGTTTCATTTCTTCTTCTAGTGTCTTGCATGATTATTGTTGTGAGCTAATTGGATGAGCAATATTTTATCTATCCTCTTTTTCTTTTTCTATTTGATCGATGGTACAAGGATGAACCAAAAGGTTTGTATCATCATCATCGTCATCGTCGTCGTCTGTAATATATCAACTCATAACTTGGAAATATGAAAGATGAACACCATGCTAATGCACGAAACTAGGAATGCGGAAATCGAACTCATAAGGTAGGTAGGCAGACAGTTAAGAGAAGTTGAGATCTCAGCATAAACATCTAACCTAGAGGGAAACCCAAGTTTTACTGCATCGGGCGGTGACTGCATATAGAAACCTAAAGGATTAGCATCCCTCACAGAAAATTCATTTTGGTCCCAACCACACTGATTATGAGCTTGGCCAAGCTATTATGAGAAGTTGAACTGAGTTACGACTAGATCTGTTAACCATATCTTCAAGTAAGAGAATCAATAAGGCCTCACACATCACCTTCCTAGTCTGTCCTCAGATTTCAAATTGTGGTAACACAGACATGTGAGGCAAGAGGTCAGTTACTGCAAACAGAGCTTCAAATTGCAGGTAATCATTTCATCAAAAGCTTCCATTCGGTGGTCTGTCTTTGTCACTTGCACAGGCTGCATGGACCATCGCATCCACTCAGGTAAATGCTTTCAAGGGGAAGAATCTACAAGCAAGTTACACATTGAACTGTTTAAGGGAAGAAAATGGCAGACCCTGGAGCTGTTACAGTCTGGGAAAATGATTATGCCAACAAATTTACGAGCACGAAATCTGACTGTATGGAGGAAGTGCAAGGATATAGACCCAATCAATTAAAGGGGACTGTTCCTGCCAAGAACTATGCAGGTTAAAAGGACAAGCAATCTTCCATGCTGTTTAGATGCAGAAACGTTTGGACAACTAAGCCCACTGGATGGTTTACCGACTTAGCCCCATCAATACTACCAAAAACACTAGATATTCGTACGAAGAATTTGCCAAAAGAGGACTCCTTCCTGTTCATCACCGTCTCTTCAATTCGTAGAAGCACTCCAAAGAAAAACGCAAGATCGAACAAAGAGTCTTATCGACATGCTCTTGAGGAATAGGGTAAAAAGATGCGACCTTTTGGATGATGTTGCGCTCCGCGAGAGTATCGAAGACGAGGACGAGGGAGTAGGCACCGGCGAAGCAGAACGTCGTGGCGGCGGCGTCCTGCAGCACCACTCCGGCGGATGCCTGGACGCGGAGGCGGAGCAGGCGCAGCTGAGCACGGGAAGACGGCATCGGCGCCGGAGAGAAGGGGACCGCGGGACCGCTGAGGAAAGGTAATGGACAGGAGGAAGCAGAGGCGAAGGGGAGCTCGGTGGGAGCGAGACGCGATCCGTGGGAACGCCTTCCTGGGAGGAGTGCGGAGGCGAATACGGCGGCACCGCCGCAGCTCCAAATCGCCACTCCCATCCGCTGCTTCGTACGGAAATGTTTCTGCAGGCTCGGCGCGGGCGGCGGTTCGGAGAGAGAGAAAGAAGGCGGTGGACAGTATTCGCTGATCTGATTAAGCGCGAATCTTAAAGCAGACCGGGACGGGCGGATCACTGCTTCGAAGCCCTCCCGAGCGTGAGCAGCCTTATCTGCTCGTCTCCGTCCCAAAGACTACAACGGAGCAGGTAGGAGTCGTCGACGTCGGTGCCGTTGTCGATGCGATGACTCCTACCTGCTCCGATCGAAATTGCTCTCGATTCCTAGCAGTAACTCGCGAATCCATCAAACTATTCTTTTATGATAAACAAAAAAATTATTTTAATTATTCAAAGTTCTAATTTTTGTGCTCGGATGCTCGTTTCTAAATCATAGAAAGACAGCGAAGGACCGAAGAACGCGACAGAATCTGAATCCATGAAAGCTAAATTTGCAATGAATTTATGGCCTTCCCTTGCAAGACAAGCCATAGCTAAATTTACAGTGACTCGATTTGACCGACGATGATGTCTTTCTGCAAGCCGCACGCAGCAGCCCACCAACCAAATTTAAGAGGGAGCAGAAGCCGACCGCCGCTGTCTTCGATCCGTAAATATATATTTTTGTACACGCATCAACACAGCCACCATTGGGTTCCACAATGATTAAGCCTTTTTCCACAAGGAGTCGCTCGCTCTTCTGTCTCGCCCCTTTTGTGGATGGAGCAGTGAAGCTTAGGCTTTATAGCTTCCCTTCGGTCGCCATGGCGTACCGAGGAAGAGATTTCAGTTGTAGCTTAAGATGCGAGTGCTGTTTTGTGCGAGCTGAGCCGCAAAGTCAAAGCCAAAATCAAAATATGAAGCGAGAAGACCTCATTTGCCTGCTCTTTGTCTTGGTGGACAATCCAGAGAAAGGTTGGATTTTAGAACCATCCATTGGTGAACCTATTTGATGCGCCACAAACACTTGGGATTTACTTGTCTGGATGTGCATGAAGAAGTGGTGTCTTTGCTCGATACGGTGTCCTTGAAACCAAGAATAGAAGCATTCCGAGCGGTTTGTTCTTTCAATCATCCCATCCTTGCGGTAACAATCGAATACGAGTGTGGTTATTCTCGATAAGAAATGTCACCCTCGTCCCACTTCCATTATTGGGCAAAGTCGGAGCAGAATGCAACACGATGGAATTAGCATCATCATCATCATCATCATCAAAAGGTGATGCTCCCTCAGGGCTGCCGCTGGGCTGGTGCTCGTCGTCTTTCTCCTCGGAGCCTTTTCCTTCGCATCTCTCGCTTTCCTTCCTGGCTGGCATTGAATACGAGGTGCGGCATCTAATGGCGACGGGCCATCTTTACCTTGTTCCGAAGAGGAAGCTTGACCCACTGCCTGTACTCTTGGATTGGACTCTTATGGAAGCACTTCCCTCTTTCCCCCCTTTGATCCCTTTCCGTCTTCCGATAGATGTTTGCCGGTGCAGATCATGAACAGTCAGTCCACCAAAAGATTACGACTCTTTCTTGTAGAGCTTACAAACAAAGCTCTCTAGCATGCCCTGTTCAGCGAGCGTTATACTATCAATGAAGCAATTTGCAGAAGAAGCGTGCGAGGCGATTTCTGTGTTCAGAAACGAGAGCACAGTAATCGATTTCTACATATCGCGCAGTCCGGAGTTCGAATTCTCTGCCTCACATGTGATCCTTGTGTTATCGGTGAATCGGAGTAAGCATCTGACATTGTGGATCAGATGCACACGACTCGATCAAATTCACGGTTTGATCTCTGACATTGTCACGTTTAAGAGGCTACAGAAAGGGTAAAGGTCGCAAGTCGCTTTCCCGCAACCGAGATGACCTCTTTCCGGGAGGAGACACATGTATTGTGCTTTTCGATTCGGTTAATGTGCGATGGTAAAAGCAATGAAGTGACGATTCCTACCGTCCTTTTTCCCGTTTCCATCATCACAGAGAAAAAGCGTGGCGTGGAGCTGTTGAGTGCCGGTGAAGTGACCAGAACAGCAGCTACCAACGGGGATCATAAATGGGTGGGTTGAAACACACGGAGTTCGATGGTGGGATGTGAGAGCAGGGAGCAATTGGTAGGATCCTAAAGGAGATCGGTCGCCAAGGTTTCCCTCCGGTTCCCTATCAAACGCAAGCAAACTAGAGTGATTGCTGCTCCTCTTTAGATTCTTCCTGGTTGGTGCCGATCTTTAGGTGGCAATATAGTTTGGTAAAGCTGTTGCCTCTGGGCATCGAACCCCTCTTTCCCTGCTGTCTTCTCCCCTGAACTATGTTTCGATTTGGGGAGAAGGAAGCATGAACAAGGAGATCGGTAGAGGTAAAGAGAAAGGGGAATAAAGATTCGATTTTTGTTAGCTGGAAGGGGACAGAGTTGCGATTTTGATCAAGACGAATCGCGAAAGCTCCGGTCTTTGGATGGGAAGCGAGTGGAACCTGAACGAGGCAGCCGCTGAGGAGGACGGTTCCTCTCCCACGGCCTCCGCCGCCACCGTAGAGGAGGAGAAGGGGGAGGCTCCGAGGACCGGCTCGGCCGACGCCGAAAACGATGGTTCTGTCTCCTACGACGTCGTCGTCGAGGTCTCCGACGGGAGGGAGCCCGTTCCGGGCGCCAGGAAGATCTTTGGATTCTCCTTCTCCAGCAGCCGCGACGGAAGTCCTGCCGCCGAGCGCGAGCCGGGCGTCGTGACCCGCCAATTCTTTCCCGAGGGTGATGCAAAAGGGGTGACGACGACGCCGTCGCCGCGCGCCCACTGGGCTGGCGTCAGCACGTCGCCGGAGCCGGTGGTGGTGGTCGGTGGAATGACCGACGAGCTGCAGGCCGCCAAGAGAACCCGGAGGGGGCCGAGGTCGAGGAGCTCTCAGTTCCGGGGTGTCACCTTCTACCGGAGGACGGGACGGTGGGAGTCCCATATATGGTTAGCCGTCTCTGCTGCTACCTTTTGTTCTCCTTCTTCTTCCCCCCTTTCTCGTAACCTTAAAAAGATTGGATCTTTCGCATTTGATTCAACCATTTGGCCTCATTTGGCTTTTTCCTTCGTATCATGTCAATCTGGCCTCTCTCATTGATGTGCAGGGATTGCGGAAAACAAGTTTATCTGGGTACGTATGAAGCGATCGAAAAGTTTACTTTTGTTTCTTGATTTGTGATCGAAACGGCTTAGATCGAATGGTTCAATACCCGTATCATCATAATTGTTGAGAGTAGTTGACTGGTTGCTGCTTATTTTGGGGCTGCAGGTGGATTTGACACCGCACATGCCGCAGCAAGGTTTGATCTGTATGCTTTTACTTCTTATGATTTAGTTGATAGACTCTTCGTGTTAAGATCACTGAGCTAAAGAGATCTTGACGCAGGGCTTATGACCGAGCTGCGATCAAGTTCCGTGGACTAGATGCTGATATTAATTTTGATCTGGATGATTATAAGGGTGATCTAGAGCAGGTTATACACGAGAGGGCATGCCGAGATGGCTAGTCATGCAGCAACGTTTTCCTTGTTGTTGTCTTCTTTTCGCTCCTAATTTCTTGCCACTAGATACGAGGATGAACTCGAACTTAACCATATCCCTGGCTGGTGGCAGATGAGCAATCTCACGAAGGAGGAGTTTGTTCATGTTCTTCGACGCCAAAGCACCAGCTATCCTAGAGGAAGCTCCAAGTACAGGGGAGTGACTTTGCACAAATGTGGAAAGTGGGAGGCCAGAATGGGCCAGTTACTGGGTAAAAAGTATATATACTTCTGGCCTTTCTTGCCAGTAGATGTTTGGAGTTCATATGTTTATAGACTAATGGTGTTGTGGATCATTCTGCTATGGTTTCTCTGGTTTAAAAGCATCGATTGTTCTCATAGGATTTCTTTGTCTGTGCTCTCAGATACGTCTATCTAGGTCTTTTCGACACTGAAGTTGAAGCTGCTAGGTATATATCGAAATCTCACTACTTCGTATCTGCCGGTTGAGTAGATCATGGAGTGTTCTAATAAGCTTCGTTGAGATATCAGGGCTTATGATAAGGCCGCAATCAAATGTAACGGAAAGGACACAATGACAAACTTTGATCCTAGCATCTATGCTGATGAGCTGCACACATCCAGTGAGTTATTTAGAGCTATTTTGCCTCCCTCGATCGTCTGTTTGCAAAGGGGTTGCATTTCTAATTGTATGAACAAAAACTTCATCAGCTGGCCAGCTTGAACACAATCTTGATCTTAGTTTGGGGAGGTCAGGTTCCAGAGGCGATAGTCTTGAACCGATGGCCAATCTCAATACCCGATCGAAGGTACAACTCTCATCCCGCATAGTCGTGCTGCTTGTTTGCGATAGCTAATGCTGGAATCTGTTCCTGCCAGTTCGATGACAAACTTAAGCAGCTCGACGGAAAAGAAAACACGAGATGTAGTGGCAATGGCTATATCCAATCTCCATTTCTTCATAAGATCCAGAGGAATGGTCAATCGTCCACCCCGTCCCAGATGAATGCAGGGCAATTCAGTCGATCTAATTCTAATCAAGTGAGCTTTCTGTGGTAAATTTGAATGTTGCTTTGTTGCTTGATTCCCTACAAGCTGATCTCAAAGTACTCGGCTTGTTGATACAGCATCCAAGCAGCAGCAATGGAGGTAGGCCTGAGGGAGGCTTTCTCTACAACTTCATGGCAAGCAAGAAAAGAGGCATTTGGGTTGGTGAAGAAGCAGCCAGAAATGGTTATAGACTGCAATGCCATCATCCCAATCGATCATCATCGGCGCTTTTGCAGCATCATCAGGATTCCCACCGCAAGTAGTGGCAGCAGCAGAATGGTTTCCGCTCTTCCATTAGACAACAATAGAAGAAGAATAGGGGGCAGGGAAATAACATTGAATGATGGAATCTGAGGACTCTGCTGGCAAAGGACCCACATTTCCGCTTTGTTTTGCTTTTAGCTATCTCAGCAACAACACCTCCACATCAATCCTTTTTAGATGCTTTTTGCATGTAAATGAGGCAGCACTGATTCAATTGAAGCTTCATGCTGGTCAACCTGATCTTTTAGGAGGAATGCCACACTTGGCTGATGTGTTTGTTCTTGCATCTTGTTTATTTGTGGCAAGTTTTAGCTGTATACTTCAGAGCTGAGGAATGGAATATGAAGATTAATGCTTGTTATGTACTAAAGAGAGAGGTTTGTATAACCTTGAAATCTTGTGTACTTTCATGCAAAAAAATGTTTGAATTTTTATGGTTATGGTAATAAACTGATCTCAAGTGCAAAAATATCAGAATTAGCCGACAATGCATGTGAAAAATATATCAATGGATGGTTGAGAGATGTCACAGTTAGTCAAATTGATGGAGAACAACATGAGAATTAGAGAAGGTTAGGCTCTCTCCATCATTGGGTTCCACAATTTATGGAACAATAAAAAATTATGGTTAAATTATTAGTATCTGTTATCCCCAAAAATCTGTCTTCTCATCTTAATATTTATGAAAGTTATATATATATATATATATATATATATATATATATATATATATATATATATATATATATATATATATATATATATATAAGGGTAAATTACCTCTCAATATAAAGGTCGGCCCATAAGAGTAGATTTGGGCCGGAGAATTAGGAGGAGAGACGGAGACGGCCCAAAGCAACTGCAGTTTCAACGGAAACCCAGAGGCGGTTGCTTGGCGTAGTGTGCTAAATCGTAGTT